ATTTGTTCAATCTGGAAAGGTCCGCATATATCGTTCCTGGGTATATATATTGTGTGTGTGTGTCCATCAGCAATGAAGAAGTCATTGTTCTTGCAAAATTCCATCAATGTGAATCCCAGTTTTATATCTTTCACTAAGGTCATATTTTCCAGCTGTTCTTGTTTCATTCATGTTCCAATAACCTTATTAATGTACCTTGATCACACGTTTGATCAATTTCAGACTGAAGAAGAGAATAGAATTCTTCAATTTCTTCATTACTGCTGTTAGTGCTTGGTGTAGAAATTTAAGTAGTAACTATACTAACTGGACCTCCTTGTAGTTGTATCTATATTAGGCTATCAAATACATAATTGTACTTCAAGATATATCATGAAATGTTTGTTTTGATAATGAAAGTGACACCATTCCTCTTGGATAGGTAATTTCTGGTTTAGTAAAACATTTTTATCCAACTCAAAATGGCCACCGCCTGTCGATTTCAGCTCCCTCGTGCTCATGATAAGGATCTTTGCGCTTTCCACTTCATTTTTAGAAACTCCCAATGTTCGTAGGTACATGCTCTGTACATTCCCCTTTCTGGTTATTAATGGATGTTTTCCACTGTTTCTTCACATTTTGGACTGTGGGGCACCAGCAATAAAGCTTTCAAAAGCGTTACTTCATCCACATAATTAAGGCAAACTCTACTTTGAGGCGGCAGCGCTCCCTCCGTCCCATTGGAGTGCCTTCCAACCTGAGGGACGCATTGTCCACCATTGTATGTGACAATGTTCTGCTTGGAGTCACACTGGTTCAGTGGTTTATTCCTCAGAAGTGGATAACCTATTCCTCTTTTCAGTCTGGAAGTTCTACTAAAATCGGTTCACTGCATGTGACTCTATTGGTATGTGCAATAGCAGTGAAATAGCTTCCAGCATCACAACAACCTCAAAGTACAACACACCGGCAGAGGAGTGGTGGTTCAGAAAGCTGGAAGGATGCATTCAGCGTGCAAGTTTTAAAAGAACAGTTTCCACCTTTGTTGGCTAAGTTAAGGAGAAGAGCCTTTTCTCAGTTCAACACCTGTTAGGTGGGCATTCTCTGGAGACTTTGCACGTGTTGTAGCATGACGTCGATCTTCCCTTGAACTGCCTGGTTCACGGTGCCAGGACACTGGGACCAACGGACATGCTCTGTTCTGGCTCTTCTCCCTTGGTTGTAGTCAGAGCTCTCCATTCCTGCTGCCCCCTTTCTTTCTCTTTTAACTCTTGTAATATTAGGTGTGGTACAGAAAACCCCCTTATATTGGATCAGGGCTATGACCTGAGGCATTCCACCCCACCCCTCTTACATCAGATCAAGGCTAATCACATCAGATCACATCATGGAGGATAATTAGATTATTACATAACTGCCATGTGACATCATTACATAACTGAAAATCAATGAGGACATCACTCCGTCAAGTAGACACATATTTTGGGGAGGTTTCAATTTCATCCTTGACAAATATGTTTCATGCAACTTTTTTGGCTAATTTTGCCAAAATAATTCTAGTACACATGAGAATTAATTGGATAATTGTCTTTAATAATGAAAATAATTGTTACCAAACACAATGTGTATGCATAGTAGAGAAATGATATGACTTAATTATTGTTGTGGTTAGGTGCTGTCTAATTGCTTCCAACTAATAGCAACCTTATACACAGCACCATCGTCACAATTGTTCCTGTGTTTGATCCCATTGCTGCTGCCACTTTGCCAATCCATCTTGTGGAGGGCCTCCTTCTCTGTCACTGTCCCTCCACTTATCCAAACCTGATGTCCCTCTCTAGGCACTGGTGATAGGCACTGCTGATAACCCACCCAGAGTGCAGGAGATGGAGTGTCACCATCCTTTCAATATGATACTTTCAATATTCTTCACCTTAGTTCGAAGATATTCACATAGTTCGACTATATTACTTTTCTTTGCCCTTCCTTATTCAATGTCCAGCTTTCACATAAGCAGTGGGAAATAACACGGATTGGGGAAGGTACATGTTATTCCTCAAAGTAATATCCTTGCTTTTCAGCAATTTAAAGAGGTCTTGTGCAGCACATTTTGCAATGCAATGCGTCCTTTGATCTCTTGACTGCTGCTTCCATAAGCATTCCTTGTGGATCCAAGCAAGATGAAAGCTTGACAACTTCATTCTTTTCTCCTATTTGTCCAGTTGTGAGGATTTTCATTTTCTTTACATTGAGATTTAATCCATACTGAAGGTGGCAATCCTTCATTTTCATTAGCAAGTGCTGCGAGCCTTTTGCATTTTCAGCCAGCAAGATTGTCATTTCCCTATCACAGGCTGTGATAAGCTTCCCTCCAATCCTGATACCACCTTGTTCTTCGTAGAATCCAGCTTCTTGATTATTTGTTCAGCATACAGATTGAAATATAGAAAATGGTTTAATTATACCCTAAAAATAGTATGTGGTAATTAAGAAGAAAAGTATTACACGTTAGATATCCTCAATGAAAAATTCACTAAGAAACTTAAGGATAAAAAACTATTTATATTAATATTCTATTTTTCCAAGTAATCTATGCTGATTGCATGTTTAAGCATGAAACAAGCGGGAAGAATCCCTATGTGATTAGTTCCCAGGGCTCTTTTTCATCAAGAATCAAATGTGGTTTTTGGCTTAGTAGAAGTGGTTATGGGGTCTTGTAAAGCTCGTTTGAGTTTTATTTTAAATTTATATATATATAATAGAAAGACCAGCCTTACTATTCATGGAGTTAAAATAAATTATGCACCATTACTAACATTACTAATAATGGCATGGGCCCCTGGATGGAGCATTTGGTCAGGCACATCACTACTTGTCCAAAGGGTGGTGGTTCCAAGCCACTGGAGGCACCTTCAAAGAAAGGCCTGACAACATGCTTCTAAAAAGTCTCAGCTTTGAAACCCTATGACGTATATGACGTTTCCATGAGTTGGAGTCCGTCTGAGGACAACTAGTTTGGCTTATGAACAGAAATACAAAAACAAATCCGTGATAACAATAAAATACAACTTTAAAAAGAATACCTGATACTATTTTCTGGGCTCAGAATAACAAAATGGCACGCCAATGATGCTTGAAATAAAGCAGTCTTGCTTCAAGAATGGGACCTTCCATTCAGTTCAACATCTCTCCCACGTAGGCCGTTGTTGACACATCCCATGTTGACACGAGGAAAGCAGGACCTGGGGTCCTCTGTGGCCACCCACACTCATCAGACAGGATTCACTCTACTGAAGCACGATCTTCCCCGCGCACTGGGGCAGCCATCAAACATTTAGAAGATGCCGAAGTCTGGTGTGAATGAATTATCACCACTGGAAAAAGTAAAACATCAAATGGGGAGATTTACTCCGTAGGTCAACCATAGGAAAACAAGATAAATGCAAATTATTTATTGATAAACTATCTTGATTCAGTGCCAAGGTTGTAAATAAGGTAGAAAGGAAAGCCCCAGGTTTGAAAGAGCCATGTGATAGCTGAGAGAACCATCACTTCCTCATTGAGTTATGAGCATGCCCAGCACTCATTCTCCTATCCTTTCTGTGAGTAACAATTTATTGACTCTGTTGACCCCTGAGTGCTGAACATAGTCTCTACATCGTGAATTTAGCAACAAACAAATCAGTGATAAGCGCATTCCCTAACTTACCAGCTACTCTGGATGATTTCTTTTATGATAAAAAAAGAACCACCTAGCCATATACTACTCAAAGGGATCGAGTTAAAGAAGCTGTTCACAGTTGAGAATCCATGGGGAGTGCCATGGCTTATTCAGGTGCTCAACTGCTAATGAAAAAGTGGGAGGTTTGAGTTCACCCGAGTTGTCGCTGAAGAAAACTCTGGCAAACGATTTCTCCAAAATCAGTCATCAGCACTCCTAGGGAGTGCAGACTTGACGCAGCGGGGTCCTGGTGAGTAAGAGTCATGCTTGCATCACCTGGGTGAGAGGGGGGCCGTGGAGACGAAGCAGAAAGATCGTTTTAATTAAAACAATTGTCGATTTGAGGACATTTTAATATCCTAAGAAAATCAGCGCTCTTAAAGCCGGAATATGACATCTTATTTAGATCAAAAACCATCATTGCCCCTTAGCAATGGAGGATTCATCCCAGGATCCCCAGCGGAAGCCTGAAACTTCAGATAGTACCAAATGGTACAGATACTGTGTGCTTGTACACATTCATCTGTGACAGGTTCCTAGGGTGTTCCAGGCAAACAGTATTAGGCAGGCTCGGTGCGGTCTTTCATCTAACGGCCTGCACTGCTATACTTTTGCTTTGGGGCCACTCCTAAGAGAAATGAGGTTTACTTGCAAATGAACACCTCAACACTGCAACAGTTAATCTGATAACTGAGATGGCTACTAAGCAACTATTGGGTGGGTAAAGTATACAGTGTGCTGAGGTTGGAAAAAGATGATACGCATCCCAGTCAGGGCAAAGTGGGATGCAATGAGATTTCATCACGCTAGGCAGACCACCAAGAATTAAAATGGCAGAAAGTCTGGCTAGAGGGTTAGTACATTTACTTCCCTGAGTGTAGGACAGTAAAACCTGCAAAGGTAATGACCTGTGTAAGGCAGAAACCTGCTAGAGAAAGAAAACATATTTTCCCGTAAACAAGAAATAAGAAAGCGGTTAGACAGTACCCTATCCAAAGCAGAAACGTTGTGAGACCCAGAAACACAAAGTAGGTGCATAGAGCTTGGGCTCTCATGGATTTCACTGTCCCTATAATGTGTAATACCTGAATTGAAAGGTTACCGTGATAATGCATATCAAGTTACCCTGAAACCTACAAAGGTGTATACAAATATGTGGCATTGTTTTGCATCTATAAGCTTTCCTCAAGTTGTTTTTCTGCCCACCCATAACCCCGTGGAAATCTAATACTTCAACTAGTCTATGAAATGTACACAGGATTATATCTAGTAGAGGCAGATGTACAGAAGGAAATAGTTCATACTTACCTGGCAGGGGAGATACCATGATCACAAAGGTGGTTTTCCCAGGGTGAGGCTCAACCATTGCATTCTGGATGTGCTGTCCCCTGCCATAAAAAAATATTAGAAAATAATAATTAAAAAATTTTTTAACAAGAAGGAAATAGTTGCTCAATTAAAAAAAAATAGTTATAACAAAAATCCTCTTAAGATATGGTACTTTCTAATTTCCAGCTGTGCATTTGTCTTTATAAGGAATTTACATCAAGGATTGTGGTTATCCAAGATATCCCATGTTTAATGTTTATTTATGGGCTTTGACAAATTCTCATGGAACCATTTTAACACCAACTCAAAATTGTTGACCAAACCATTGCTAACCCTCTTTTAGACAAACTGGATTATTCACGGGTGTTGCCAAGAAAATATCCTCTCCAAATTGTTTTTGTAGATGAAGTATACGCATATTTGAGCTTCAAAAAGCCCTCACCTAATTTTATAAATGGCATGAATATTTCCTCTGGCCGAAAACATACCAACACACAAATCGCATGCCCATTTCGGGTTCTAAAATGCGGACGAATCCGTGCAGTCCCTAGAGAAGACATCCTTCCTGTGAAGTTGAGAAGCAGCGAGAAGAAATGCCTTTGACAAGATGGATGGACACGGTGGCTGCCACAAGGGTCAAATATACGAAGGATTATGAGGACGGGGCAGGACCGGGCAGTGTTGGTCGGAACTGACTCACTGCCACCTGACCACAACACAACCACCTCAAGGAAAACAATTACTAGATGACAGAGGTGTTTTACAAGAGGTCCACTGAGGTATGGCTCCCCACCCCCATCCCTCTGAAGGGTGTGGTCAACGTGAGCTTGGGGAGGACGTGTTCCCTCTGGGGGCCAGAGCAGTGTGTTTACCTGCTGTGTGAGTCTGGGTACATGAGAGAAACAAATCCACAGAAACTCATGTATAAGAGAGTGTTTTATGTAAAGGGTAAATGCACATCAAGAAAACATCCCAACCCAGCGCTGCCCAAACCCACAAGTCCAACATTACCCCATTAACCCAGATGTCCAACACCAGTCCACAAAGTCCTCGTCCATCTCACAAAACACACGCAATGATGCCGACTGCAGGAGGAAAGCCGAGTCAGTGAGTGTGTATGTAAACATCTCAGCGCTGGCAGGGGTCTCCACACGGCTGCTCCAGCACCCAGGGCTGCATCGGGGTAGGTCCATGTAGCTTCTCCTTGGGGATGTCTTGCAGGAAGTGAGCTTTGCCAGCTGAAGCAGGGAACTGCTAAGGTAGGCTGCACCCTGGTCCGACCATCAGAAAGCAAGAGACCCGAGAACTAGAAAGGCGAGGCTCACCGAGCCATTTATCCCTCTGCCCTTCTATTAATCCCACATGTGTTTATCGGCCAGGTAGGCACAATACGCTAACTACCGCACCTGCTGATCCAGGATGAAATGACACCCTCATAGGGTTTGTGACATTTGGTCCAGAATGTATCGTATTTTTTTTATATATTATACGTGCTGCTCTTGAAAATTAGTTTTCATCAGCTATCTTATGCTTTGCAAAGGGCAAACTGTGATGAACGACTGCTTCAGAAAAAAGGTACACTTGAAACTGCTGAAGTCTAACAATTAATACGTTAACGAGCTGCACTACGGGTACTGCGAGGGTTCACCCGGGCCTGGTACATAACGGTCACTGAATGAACACTTCTTACGTAATCACAAGGCTCGCTTCCCTTGCTGCTTTTCTTTTGCTGCTTTTCTTTTCCTTATTTTTTTTTTCATTCATTCGTCAGGTCCTCATTGAATGAGGTTTTTATGGAAATTTTTTTCCCTCCAAACCATTTTATTAAGACACAATCCAGACTTTTTATTGTGCATCCAGTGAAAGTTTACAGAACAGATCATAGTTTGAACAGATCGTAGTTGTAAAGCCAACAATTTTTACACATTCTGATTTGACATATTTTCTGGTATTCTGGTGCATATTGCATGCTTACTTAGTGCTATTTCGTAGGCCCTGGTGGGTTCAAATTTGAAGAATTGATCATGAATAGTATTCTTAATCAAGTATGTTCATAATAACATATGTCACTTGAATGTAAAACCTCTGAATCAAATTTAATTGGGGTGTGAAATGACCTTTGAGAATGTCTTGGCTTCCAGTGCCATCTATCCTACGAAAGGAAAATGTCTCCCGTGTAAGAAGAGCGCTTCATGTCTGTGTGCAGGTGTGTGGATTCTAAAAAGGAGTTCAATCTTCGTGATTCAGAAAGGCATGGCAGACTCCTATAAATTAAATTTCTAAGTCATGCTTCTTGCTTTTCTGGCATTACTCAGGCAGGGCTTCATGTATTTGAGGCTTCAATTAGAATTTGTCTTGATGAGTATTTGACATACTATCACTTAAACTAATTCTCTTGCCAGCTTTTTGGGAGATGTCTCCTCAGTGCCAAACAGTCTGTTAAAACCCCCTGTCCAACCCTGCTCCCTACAAACTGGAGCCCTTAAGCAGCTGCTCCCTGTGACTGAGGCGAAGCAGCAGCCTGCTGCATCCTGGCTACAGTTCCAGGTTGTTTTTACAGACCCCCAAGCCCTCCCATCCCATCTATTTGTTTTTTTCATAAATCCCAACATATCCCCAGAATGCTAATCATTTTCACATGTTAGTATCTCATTGGTGACACTCAAATGCCAATTAAGGGTAATTCAAGTAGATATTTTTATCAACATTTTTCAGCTGAAAAAAATAAGACTGCTGGACATGACAATCCTTGGCCATTGAAGCTGAGCTAAAATTAACATTCAGGGGATTTGGAGATTCAGAATCCAAGGCGATCCCACTATATTGCCCTGTCTCTGCCTTTAAAATTGTTTTTGTTTGTACATGATATCTTAAACCCAGATGTGATTTAGATTTTTATATCAAATCTTTTCATACATATTTTACATTATGTACTTAGTTATAGAGAATTGTAATATTAATATCTATTATGCTATATTCTTACTTGACCTACTTTTTCTTTCCCTCTTGCATCTATTGGTGAGTTTGATAAAATGAAGCAACCATCCAGTAGACCTGAAACAGAGAGAAATTATTTATGAATTATCACTTCTCCAGAAATAATGATTTTGCTATGCATTAGATCGAAATCACTTGAAACTGTATCCTATTGCCAGCTAGTAGCTCTTCTGTTGCTTCAAGAGTTACATCTTTTCTGCACTCACATTTCTCTTGCTGATAATTGCATGTATAACCATTCTAATAATCTTAATTAAGTGTTCAATGCCTTGCCCCTGTGGCACGATTTAGTGTCTTGACTACCTACCTATAGGTAGGTATCGGAATGATGACTTCTATAGTCTGCCTTTCTGTATCTACCTGTGATTTTCACCAGCATTAGTGCTCCATCATTGAGCATTCTTGGCTACTTATGTTATAGGCAAGCAAAGTTAATAGGCAATATGAATGCTCAGTGTTAGTCACTTGAGGAATGACATGCTTACATCTAACACTTACGTGATTTGATAGACCATATCTCCATTTATGCTAGCTCAAATAGCTTCCCACAGAATTGAAAGACACACACACACACACACACACACACACACGTCACCATCTTATGCCATTTAGGTGTGTAAAGCTAAATAGTTGATAGTGAAGTTAATAATCTCAATTAAGAAAATGTGGCTTCAGGATTAAAATTCACACTTTTGTTAAAACATATATGATATATAAATTTAATATATATTATTCTATTCTATTATTCACATACTACTCAGTTATATATGATACTTAAGGATCTACTTTACCATTCCTTGGTAAGGTATCAGTGCAGTGAGGAGGACTTTCAACGTAGTGGATTGACACGGCAGCTGAATCCATGGGTTCAAATGTGAGAGCAATTGAGGATGGCAAAGGAGGGCAGCGTTGACTGTTTCATTTAGGGTTGCTATGAGTCTGGCCTGGCTTGAGGGAACCGACCAACCACAACAATATGAGAACTTCTGGACTTCTAAAACCTCCTAAGGAATGAGTCATGTTTATTATGGTTGTTTTCTACAGTAAATTACAAAATTGAATTGGGATTTTTAAAGCACAATCGAATCTTATGCTATCTTACCAAGAACAAATCCTAACAATGAAAATAGCACCAACATCAAAATCACACAAAAATAGTATTATAAAAAATGCACCAATTTGGGAACAACAAAAATGATATATTTGTGATATGTGCCTATATATTGATATATAATGCACATACATGTGGTGACTTCAAAAACTCGTGGAAAGTAGAATTAAAATATTTTCAAGATAATTGAATTTTTCCGCGAATTTTTTGATGCCCCCTAGTAACTTTGTACACTCTGCCCAGTAGATAGAATCACTTGGGTTTTATTTAGTTAGTGATTTATTATGCCTTTAGGTAAAAGGATTTGAACTATCATGTAGGTGAAAAGAACATTGCATGTAAAATTATTCTCGATGTAGTATCCAGAAATAGTTATGCTCATTTTAAATGAAAGCCAAAGATACCCTTTATCATATAATTCTTGTTAAGTCCTACATAATGAAATGACTTGAGAAAGGAAGTATTCTAAGCCGATAACAGTTACGATGATACCATGAAAAGCCACAGCTTTTAGGAAAAAGAAGTATGAAAACGTACCAAAATAGTTACCAATATATATTTTAATTTTAAGACTTATAAACACATTTCCAGGCAAGCATCACTTGCACCTGCAATCACTGACTAAGGATAATAGCCAACATTTGAAATGTAGAAGTCCACGTAGCCCCTTAGAAGAAAGAATTCAAGCGTTAGATGTGTTGTCCTTCCACCACAGATTTCTTTCTAATATTGTTAGCAATTCAAGATAATGTCCCCCTTGCCACTGCTTCTTACATTTATAAAGCAGAGTGCATTTTGGTGCCAGGTGTGAGGGAATTCCATCTCTAAGATCCAAGTTGGATTTTTTTCTTTTTCTGGCTGGCCAGGCCAAGTATCTAAAGATATCTAATCATCTTCCAGGAAGACCACCTTTTGGATCTGCTTCCTTTAAGGGTGCAGTATATATGATAATGACCTCATTGTCACCAAATAGAATACAATTAATTTTATTTTTTAGTATGTTATCTGCAAGCAAAGCACCAG